AACAACAACAACAACAACAACTGTTATTGCTGTGACTTCTCAACTTGCCCTTGTAGTGTCAAACTGCCCATCAATAATATAGAAAACGAGTGGGTGTGGTTGTGTTCCAATGAAGTTTTATTTACAAAAAACAGTGTGCAGACCCTTGTTCTAAGTCTAAAAAGACTCCCGTGCATGGAGGGGATTGTAATCATTGCATTGAAACAAAATACGATCAGTTGAGTGCAAAACCGATGTTCTCCCATGTAAACTATCACTCACTTCATAATAAAAGCTTTAAGAAAAAAAATCATTACTGGTGATGAGATATGGATTCGCCACTCTGAGCCTGACAGTAAATGGCCGAGTGTGGAATGGAAACAAGTTCAACTGTCAACAAAGAAAACATTCAAAAGTCAACCACCAGCTGGAATATTGATGCTTACAGATTTGGGGGATTCTCAAGGACCAGTACTGGAACATGATCAGGAAAAATGTTCAACAATCAACAGTGCTCATTACAATGAGATGCTCACTGAAAAGCTGGAGCCTGAACTTCCAATTAAGTGCAGAGGACCACTATTCAAGGGCTTTGTGTATTTGCATGACAATGCTTGTCCCCCACACCTCTGCCCACACTGTTGATACTCTGCAAAAACTTCATTTTGAGGTGTTAAAGCATCTTCCCTACAATCCAGATCTTGCTCCATCAAACTTTAACCTGTCTGGTCAACTAAAAGCAGTCATTCAAGGATGAAGATTTACCTCAGATGAAGAAGAGAAGACAGTGGTGCATTCGTGGCTCACAGCTCAGCCTAAAACATTTTTAATTAAGTGAATATGAGAGCTTGTTGACAGATGGACAAAAGTATTGAAAAATCAGAAGATTATATCTAAAAATGATTTATTTGTCTTTTCTAAAATTTGATTAAAATAAATTCTACAGATCAAAAAAAAAAAAAAAAAAAAGGACTCCCTAAGGCCCTTAGCAAGAATGATTCCTAGTTTCCTGTCATAGGAACCTGGTGAGTAACACACTCAAAAAAAAAGTCTGAAAAGCATTTTGGGAAGGGGTGAACAAGAAACTAAAAACCTAGCTAGTGCTCACAGGTAAAGCTCTTCCACTTATCTTTCGCTAATTTTTGCATCCCAATCCACTCGACTTCCAGTCACTAGCCCTGTTGTTGTTGTTAGGTGCCGTGGAGTCAGTTCCGACTCATTGCAACCCTGTACAGGGTTTCCGAGGCTATAAATCTTTACGGAAGCAGAAAGCCTCATCTTTCTCCCACAGAATGGCTGGTAGTTTCGAACTGCTGACCTTGGGGTTCGCAGCCCCATTCGTAACCACTCCGCTACCAGTAGCCCTGAGAGGCTGCCATTTCTGCTCCCTAAAACAACAACAACTGATTTCATAAAGGCACCTGTGAATTCATTCTATGGATTCTACGGATTCCAGAGAATACATTGAAAACCCAGAAAGGGAACATTTAAAAAACACCAATGTTTTCAGCTTACGCAGTCTTGCCCTCGCTATCCTGCTTGGTGGCGCTGGCCCCCTTCTTGCCCAGCAGTGAGGCCACTTTCTCCGTGTCTCCGTTCTCCACAGCCTGTAGGAGCCGGTCATCATTCTTGTTCCATTCATTGGTCTACAGAGGAAAGGGGAGACACACAGTTAAAGAACCAACACACAGACCACAGACAGACAGCCCCAAGAACCTCTCACTGCCCCCAGTCCTCCTGCGGCTCAAATAAAAACCTGCCCCTAAATAGATCATTTAAAAAATACCTTTCCCTTCACCATGGAGACACCCAGGAAGACTGGTTTCCCCAAAGAAAACATCCACAGCTCAATGAAATAGCAGCCGGTAACCAAACTCTGAGATGAAGCCACTTCTGGTCACAGAGGCTGGGAAGTTAGAAGACCTTGAAACCAGTTTACATATTAGCTTATTTCTAGCCCAACTGGACAGCTGATTCCTCAGAACTCTGGCCTTTGACCTTGTCCACAGCTCACTCTGTCCACTCTGTTACAGAGCCAAACCACCCAACAGCTAAAGGTTACCTGAGGTTTTAGAGACATTCATTCTTCAGCTGCTTTGACTGCCTCTCTTCCTGTCTAACTCCTGGGCCTTGATGTTTGAATTGTATTGATGTTTCAGCTGTAGATTGTAGTGTAGTGTTACGAGTCAGGCTGCTAGTTCAGAAGGCCAGCAGTTCGAAACTACCAGCTGGTCCATGGAAGAAAGATGAAGCTTTCTGCTTCTGTAAAGATTTACAGCCTCGGAAACCCTATGCAGGGTCACTATGAGTCAGAACTGACTCCATGGTATGTAATCACCTCCACCGCCATATTGCCTGTTTTTTGTTTTTTCTTCTTCAAATTCTAATAATTTTAATGACTTTAGCAAAAGAGAACAGACCAAGGTCAAGAAAGTTCAGAGACAATGGTTCCTGTTTCTAGAAATACATTCTGTGGATGACAAGCTTATTTCTTCAGATTTTCTTCATTTCATAGTAGAAAACAGTACTGCATTTTTTTTCTGAGGGACAATTTGCCTTTAAGTCATCATATACATGGTTAAATTTGAGATTTCAGAATTCTTTATTTGTGTAGCCACATACTGACATTTAAGTAGTTGTCCATCCAGGCTATGGATTCAATACAGCTACCAGAAAGATTTCTTGGCAAGCTACTAACTTGTTCAACCCCACCCTGGCAAAAAGATCCTGCACACTGCAGTCCCATTAAAGATTTCACGTGTAGAGAAGTTAGTTCTTACTCTTGACAAGAGAAAGATACCATCTCTCTATAAGAGCAATTGGACAGCAAGGAGTCATGGAAGGTCTTGGAACAGAGGAATGAGAACATGAAACCAGTGTAGTAGCGAGTCCTCTGTGGGTATGGGCTGTACAAAAGATTAATGGGGTGTCAGAGGGAAAAATGATCCTGGGACCCATCAAAGTTCCCAGCCTTCCCTACAGCAGGCCCCTGAGACTAAGCTACTTCCTGGTCCCTTCAGCCTTGGACTCTACCAACTGGGGAGTCTCCACCTTCCTCCCCAGAGTTTTTCACAGACAGGTCACCCACCAGGCTCTCCTCTTCCTGTGACCACTGAAGAGAAGAACCTCTAAGTGTTTCATATGAAAGACTTTACTACAGACCACAGAGAAGCAGACAGAGGAGATAGAGATGTGAGAGCTAAAATGAGGGGCTTATACCCAGTTACCCATGGTGTGGTGCTGGATGGTTAAGTAGTGGACTGCCAACTGCTAGGATGGTGGCTCAATCCCACCAGCCACTCCTTGAAACCCCTACACAGGATCACCAGGACTACTAACCACAAAGTCTGCAGTTCAAACCCACCAGCTACTCCTCAGAAACCCTATAAAGGGTCGCTATGAGTCAGAATTGACTCGAGAGCACTTAACAACAACAATGACAACAGCAGCAACAAGGGCCTTGGGAGGCATTCTGGTGGCATAATGGATTAAGCGCTGGGCGGCTACCCTAAAGGTTGCAGCAGTTCAAACGCATCAGCTTCTCTGCTAGAGAGAGATGTGACTAGCTGTTCCTGTGAAGAGTCAAAGCCTTGGGAATCCTACAGAGCAGTCCTCCTCTGTCCCATACGGTCGCTGTGAGAAAGAATTGACCCCACAGCAGTGAGCTTGTTTGGTTTTTTGTTGGTTGGCCTCTGGGGTGTATTCTCATTCCATCAAAAATCCTAGTCACCCCCACTCCAACCCCAGCCCAGAGGCAGGGCCTTGGAGAAAGTCCACAGGCTAACAAGATTCACCACAACTGTGCCCTTGGCTTAGGGGGTAAATTATTTGCATCTCTGAGGGTTTCAGAACTGGGCACACCCATTTCTCAGGACTCCGGGCCAAGAGAGACAATTGCAATTTGGCTTTAAACTCACTGAGATGGTCGATTGCCCCACTCATTGCAAACTTACAGGGCAGAGTAAAACTACTTACGGGATTTGCAAAGCTGTCAATTGTTATGGAAGCCAATGGATCAGTCCTGTGCTTGGCATGAATTTGAAGTTCAGGACTCTTGTCTGACAAGTATGTGCTGTGTTACCCTAACCTGCTCCTCCGTCTGCTGAGTCTCTGGGCTGGATGACCACTGTGAAATCCCCTGACAATGTTTCATCCATGAAACTCTTCAAGCCAAACTCTGCTAAGGATTGACTGAAGCGCACTGAAGACCAATGATTCCTACTTATGTTATCCTAAAAGGCAAAATTCAGAAGTCTTTTAAGATGCTTAAAAACATCTGGTTTAGAAACAGAGAACGCAACCTAACTGACCAAATTAAAACTGGATAGGGAAGATCAAATGGATACTAAATCCCAGAAGACATGACTGAAAGTGCTTGCGCAGAGTGAAGACCACATGAAAGGATTCTCCTCTTAGTGCTGCTAAGCACTGAACTCCTGAATAGACAAAAATCCAACCGTAGGGGTTCCCTATAATTAGTTACATGCAGATCTTCTGCTATGTGTTGTCAAGCCATTTGCCACTGAGAGTGATGCTATGCACAACACAACACAACACAACAGGGCCTGGTCTCGGGCTGTCCTCACAATTGTCTTGTTTGAACCCATAGTTGCTGCCACTGTGTCAATCCATCTTGTTGGGGGCTTTCTTCTTTTCTGTTGACCCTCCACTTTACAAGCATGATGCCCTTCTCCAAGGACTGGTCCCTCCTGACAACATGTTCAAAGAAGGAGAGATGAAGTCTTGCCAGCCTTGCTCCTAAGGAGCATTCTGGCTGCTCTTCTGGCAGTCTTCTTGGTTCTTTAAATAATCTTCACCAACACCATAATTCAAATGCCTTGATTCCTCTACAGTCTTTCAGGATTCTTGCAGATCTTTGTTGTTGTTTTTATGTGCCATCAAATCTGTTCCAAATAATAGGGACCCTGTATACGGCTTCTGAGGTTGTAAATCTTTGCAGGAACAGAAAGCCTCATCTTTCTCCTGCACAGCAGCTGGTGGGCTCCAACAGCTGACCTTGGGGTTCATAGTCCAGAGCTTATCCTACAAAGCCACCACGCTCCTTGCAAATTTTAGGGGGGTCCAATGTCTCTAAGATACAGCAAGAAAGACCCTACTTCCCTCGCGCTCTGGAGGACAAGGTCAGTGGCACCAGTCTTGAGATCTCAAAGTCTTCTCTTTTGGGTCTCTCCTCAGTGTAGAGCAGATGAGGTGAAGAGGGAATGGCCACAACGCTGAATATTTAATGATCTGCACCCTATCAACAGGTATGTGCTGCAGGTGGGGACATGGTTAACACCAAGAAGAGGGTAAGGATGAGTGCTGCATATATTGAAGGCCAAGAGAACAGCTCAGGATGAATCAGGAAGTAAAGCAAACCTGCAGTAGAAGCCAGTTGCCATGGAGTCTGTCCTGACTCGTGGCAACCCCATGTGTGTCAGAGAGGAAGTGTGCTCCACACAGTGTTCAGTGACTGAGGTTTGTTTTTGAAAGGAGAATGATCCGTTTTTATTTTAGAGAATAATAAAAAAGGTCCTTTAAAAAATGTCACATTACTTCCTACAAACCATGATTCAATGAATTTTGCTCTGTAATTTTTTCTCTTCTTTGAAAAGTAATCTGCACATTTGACAATATTTCTATTTTCTTGAGACAATTTTCTTTTTTCCAAAAGCATCTAATTAAGGACGCTGTACTCATTTACTCTTATTTCCTTCCTGTTCACTGAGTATACGTGAGAATGTCAAATGATGTACATAAAATGCCAAGACCATGGTTAATTGGCAACGGATCTTTAAATAAAACATATCCTCCAAATAAAGTAATGCAGAACTTGAGGTGTCCAAACATGTTGTAGGTGAGTGGTGAAGTAGTCCCAATGATCTGGTAAACTGATAACTATTACTCCAGAGAGCAGCACCATAACCAAAGCAGAAATGGACCAGGGACCAACTATTCCCCCTTCTCCAAACACTGGCTTAAAGAAGGGCACAGCCACTAACAGCATGGCAGATGACACAGGTGCCAGGTAGTATGGTAGTTGCACTGAATGTACCTGCAATTCATTGCTGTTTGGCTCCTAGCCACACTTGATAAAGGGATGTAACTAAAACACCAAGAGCAGCAAACACCAATCCAAGGAAATTAACTTTCACATGGTAATAAGAATTTAGGATTCCATCTAAAGTTACAGGAATCAGTGTGAGGTGTATTGTGGTAGAGAAGATCTTCTTGTTGCAGGAAGTCTGGATGGCTATGATGACTGGTGTGGTCATTGCCTTGGTCAGCTGATAGGTGTCTATGGTGTCGTTCTCTGGGCCAGGGAGAAGCATGCGCCCATCAGGTCTCTGGCCAGCACATGCCTTAGCAGCCCTGACATGTTCCACCGCCGCCGCTCACTAAGCCACTCATCACCACCCCCACGCCCTGCCTCCGTCTCAGTGGCTGAGTTTTTGAAAGTAGATCAGATCTTCCTTCAAAGGTGCCTCTGGGGGGACTCTAACCAACAACCCTTCAGTTAGCAGCAGAATGCATTAACTGTTTGCATTCACAACTCAAAACCCCCCACCAAACTCACTGCCATCGAGTCAATTCCAATAGAGAGAGACCCTGTAAGGAGTTTCCAAGACTATAACTCTCTAC